CAGCAAGATCGCCCCCCCGGAGGGTCGTTTTCCCCCCCGCCGATTCAGGCGGGTAGTGTAGACCTAGCCTTTGTGTGATTTGGGTCAGGTCCCCTAACCTCTCCATACTTCATTTTTCCCTGTGTAGAATTGGGGTAGTAATTAGATCTGGATGACATTTTTCAGAAAAAAAAAATACAGATTTGGCAACACCAAAACATTTTGTGAATGTGGCAATTTCACCAAATAGTTTCAGCAGGAAAAAAATCTGAAGAAAACCAAGAGGTTTTGTTTTGATTTTTCAGTTTGAAATTACTTGGTTTCAAAATTCCCTTCAATTTTATTTAAAAAATTCAAAAAACAAATGAATACTGGAAATCTAAACCTAATCTAAAATTGTTGAACCTGAAACAATTTTTCTTTTTTACACTTTTCAGGATTGCAAAGCAAACCAAAAAATCCATTATTCACAGAGCTCTAATAGTGATAGCTGCTTCACAGCACTGCTGAAATAAAATGCTTGGATTTCATCACATGAAAGATGCTTCATAAGTACAATTCTTTTAACAAAAACATTCTCAAGTCTTTCGCATATTAAAATAAAGTCCGAGTTAGACATAAGCTCATCAAAATGCATATTGAACTCTTATAACTTGGAAAAAAAATTACAGGTAATGTTTGCTGGTAATTAGCCCATGTATAGATGTGTTCTAAAGAAACACATTCAGGGTTCTAGTCTCCCCCCAAAACGTAATCCTAGTCCCATTCAAGTCAATAGCAAACGTCCATTAACTCCAGTAGTGCTTCAATATCCATGGGCATTAGGAGACGTTATATGCATATATTCTGGAAAGTCACAGATTTCCAAAAGTGCGCAAGTGACTTAGCAGCGCAAGTCTTACTGACTTTCAGTGGGCCTTGTGCACCTAGTCACTTAAAAATCCCACCCTATGCCTCTAAAACAGTGGTTCTTAACCTTTACTGCAGCCTGCACCCCTTTGGTTCTCAAAATATGTTCTCGCACCCCTTATCAAAAATCGTTGAAGTAGGTCAGTTCTTTAAACCTAGATTTTTTTTTGTTTGTATATTACAGTAATCGTTAAAAAATGTATAATGTTAATAAATACATAGGTTTGATGAAACAAGTTGTACTTATGTGCCTGTGCTTAATTTGCATTTTCGATGATTTACCTTCTTAAAAAAAAAAACTGACATGTCTCGTATCCCCAGAAAGGGCATCTCGCACCCCCAGGGGGTGCGTGCACCCCAGGTTAAGAACCACTGCTCTAAAGTATCTGGTTTAAATTAACAAAAGCCAAAAAATCTGAATTAATTCTAAAAAATATGGCCAGAAATTAAACACAATCACCACCACCTTCATGTACAGAAAAAAGAGTTGTGTGTTAATGCTCAAAGCTTCATCCTGCAAGATATTTTGGTTTAGCCAGTGATATCACCAACTGAATCTCCAATCTCTAATACCTACAACAGCCTAGGCTTTATTATTTTAAATATTAACTAGGGTCCTGATCCTGTCATTGACAGTGGGAAGAGTACTGTACCTGCAGAACAGAACTCCACTACAGTCAGTAGGACTCTGGGCAGGAGCTTCTGTTCACCCATGTGCAGGACTGAGGATTAGGTCTTAACATGATTCCCTAAGATTCAACAGGATCACAGCCTAAAGGGATATGGCAGCAATCCACAAAGTACTTTCATGTGCCTAAGCACTGTAGCTGTTTTAATCCTCTAATTCACAGGCTTCAGATCAATGGTCCAGGTCTCACGTGCCTCATTTATGCCCCAATGAGTAAACTGAGAAACTCAAATCTCTTGCTAATTTAAACTTACCTTTTAAACTTATGTTCTGGTTTATGAGTCAAAAACAGCCAGCAGCCAGAAAAATCCATTACAAACTTTCTGGTAATTGACAGCAGCACTGTAGAGGGATTCATACAATTCTTAAGGACATTTTGTAGCTGAAATTTTGAAGTAAATTCCTCTCATCTCCCTCTTCTACCACCAGCTTCTTGGTTACCTTTTCCTCCTGGAAAGAAACTCCACATGAACACATCACTAAGTCCATTATTCCCTAGTGTAAATACTTTTTCAAATCATTCTTTTCACGCAGTGGTATCTGTCGGTTTCCACGATGCCTTTATTCAGACAATTCCTCCCTTACAACGTGCATCTTGAGAGGCAATGAGGAAGACGTTACCATCTTCAGTCTCTTACCACTGTAGGTTAGAACTGTTTGAAAATGGACATTTCTGGATATAAAGTAGCCATTTTCCACTAAAAAAAACCCACTCTACCTTTTGATGGAAAATTTCAAAACAACAACAAAAATACAGTTTCATTGAAAATCCAAATATTTTTCTAACATTTTCACTGCCAGAAACCAAACCATTTTGATTAAACTCAAAAGTTCTGCAGATATTTTTTTAAATGAAAATGAAAAATAAATGGTCATATTTTTAACAGTAAAAAACCAAAACATTTCCTGACCAGCTCTAGTAGAGTCCCATTGTGGGCCACAGTGAGAGTTATTTCAATGATAAGTACATTACCAAACTACTATATTAGGGTTACCATACGTCCAGTTTTTCCCGGACATGTCCGGCTTTTTGGTAATCAAACCCCC